ACCATGATGACGGATAATGACGGCGACAGGGACTTCACAGTCTCGATGAATTTGAACTTGTTTACTGTTTTTTGACTTTTTTGTACCTCTATGGCTTGAGTTGGTTTTTGAAGACTTCCAGGTAAAGCTTAGGGCCCATTCGTCTAGTTCTGCGCGGCAAGCTTTTGCGTGGGAGAGGCACAACTCCATAGCTATCTCCGCCTCGAGACGCAAAGGTTGATGGAAGGATACAAAAGGCGAGTTGACAACCTGATGGGATTGTTCATGGCACACGATCTGTACGACATCATAGCCACCATATCTCACATTCTCAAACCTCATTGTACACAACCAAAAAAGACAACAACCCATATTTGAGGACATATAAGAATGCCAGCCGCAGCTATCATGAACTTTCTTACACCGACAAACCACCAACAACTCCCCCCGCCAAACAAACCAGCAGCAAATTCTGACGCCGCAGTCTGGGAATCAGCAATCCTCGCACTACGCCGACAAAGCAGCATTCCACTCTTGGACAAAAAGGTGCAAACATGGCGCGACGGGTTTGAAGAGGCAGAGTACCGGGACGTCCACCATCTCGTCCAGGAGCACCGCTTACCACGGGACGCAACACGGCAAGTCCAAAGCTGGCTACGGGAGGCCCGTACGTTGGAGACCGAGGCAAAGAATTGCGGACATAAACCTACAAGGATCCTGTACGCTGGTATCGTGCAGGACTGCGAGGCGGAACTGCATTGTCTTCGGAACCAGTTCGTCATCAAGACGTTTCGGTTTGAGCGTATTCCGCATAACCTTGCGAAATTACGGCGATGGATTGGTCGTAGCGAGGAGAATCCAGCAACAAGTACCACGGGAGTTTCTCTAAATACTACCACGATTGAAAACAAACCGTTAGGAAGGACCATATCGCTTCCATCCCTCGGCAAACCGCGACCGCTCAGCCTTGAGCTCGTAAGGGGAGCCATGGAAATACCAGACGAGGTCGACGGCCCGGACGCAATGGACGACGAGAACGAAGAACAAGAAGAGGAAAAAACAAGGAAGACGGAAGATTACACCTGCTCTGACCAAGAGTGGGCTCATTGTCTGGAAGACTGGAGTCGACGCCAAGAAGACTGGGCTCAACAACAGGAAGACTGGGCTCGCCGCGAGGAGGAGCAGGAGAGCCAGCGGCTGCAGCTGGCGATGAGATACAAGTACCCGGTCAACATGCGCAGAGCCAAAACACAGTACTTGCGGGCCATGGAGAGGCAGGAGTGGGAGCAGGAGAAGGGGGTGTGCGACTTTGCTGGTCATGATCGTTTCTCGTGGGCCTCGGTGTAGAACATCATGTTGGAGATCACCCCAGGCGTTCTTTGCGTTGCAGTCTAGAGGATTTCAATGACGAGATAGTAAATTACTGCCAAAGACCAAGATGTGGTTTGCTCATGAATGGTGAATGTGAATCGCATTGAAGTCAGGTTGTCAGATGCGAGTGCGGTCACCATGTCTCTTGTTGCTTTGCATGGATGCTTACGTGAAGTCTGCCATGTGTGAACAATAACCGTAACTCGCAAAGAGGCGGCCCCCAGTTGGCTAAAAGTCGCATGTCAGCTCTTCTAGGGTACTTAGGTCCCCTGTTCTAGGGTACCTGATTGTTATCGCTTTCAAAAATGATGACTTCTGAAGGTGAAAAGGTAGAGAGATGGGTTACGAAAAGGGACTAGCGTCGTTGCCCCGGTATCTCGCACAACGCACAACGGAGGGATCATTCCACCGTGTCTCCGCGATGGGCCGCCGGTACATCAAGTAATACGGTACCGCCGGACTTTAGCAACCCCCGCACTCGCACACAAGCCAAGTGCAATAGCTCACCCAAAGTACCTTAAGTTGGTGGGTGATGGAGATGGGACTTTGGAAGCCGGAGTCGGTGGCTTGAACTTTCAGGGCTGGTCCAGTCGTATGGAGCATTGGACTGTCAATGAGACGGGCACACCCGTGGGCGGGTTAGGGGACTTTGGTTGTCCTAAAAGCCGGTATCTCCACTGACGTGCCAATCAGATGCGCCGACTTACATGAAATGACTTAGAGGTAAGGTAGTGACGCGCAGATGCTTGACGCGTTGCGACAGGTAGACCAGCTCACTTTTCATAGCCATTGGACTGATGGCTCAGAGCTCATCATTCCTGTGGCTCGCAATCGCACATCTGACGTGCAGATTTAAACCAAGCCTCACCGCATGAGTGATGCACACGTATCGATGACTGCCTACCTCATCTTTTCTCTCTCGGACCGGGCTCATTGCTCTCGCTAACGCCGAGTGGATCCCGTTCCGTCTAGTCCAATTCCCCGGCCGGCGAGCGCGGATTGCAACCACTTTGAGCTTGTCTCTTCCACTCCCCTCCCTCCCTCTCCTCTTCTTCGTGTCACATCCTGCATATGTAACAAAGTCCAACTCTATCTATATATCTCGGAATCCCCTCACACCCCTCGGGCAAGAGGGTCTTTGATGAACCATGTCCAAGTTCAGACAGTTCTTCCGCACTTTCTTCCAACAACCGCCCACACGTCCCGGTACTAAAAAGGCTTCAGCAACGCCGGCCTCCGTGCTCGCCCTTTCAATGGCCTCATATTCAACCACCGTCACCAAGATCCCAGACCTTGGTCCCTCGCCCGAGGATGCCTCATCTAAGCCTCATCACGTCACGAAAAACGGCAACAGAGTCGGCTTCAAGAACGTCCACCCTTCCTTTGGTGATGGCATCGGCTTTTCCAAGATGGTCCGCCATGTTCTCTGGTACGTTTCAATCTCAATCTCATTCTCACAGCCCGGTCACGCCGGCCTCACTTCCGCTTCCACTCCCGCTCAATCGCATCTAACAACCATCACAGGCCGCAAGTGACGGGTGAGCTCAAGTGGCCAGACACCACGCCGCCAACAGTGACCGTCAAAAAGCCAGAGTTCCTGCCCAACCGCACAGCCTCAGACAAGCTCCGCGCAACATGGCTGGGCCACGCCTGCTACTACGTAGAATTCCCTTCCGGCCTGCGCGTCCTCTTTGACCCTGTCTTTGAAGACCGCTGCTCCCCCTTCTCATTTATGGGTCCCAAACGCTTCACCCCCAAACCCTGCGACCTCGCCGACATACCCTTTGTCGACGCCGTCTTCATCAGCCACAGCCACTACGACCACCTCTCCCACGAATCCGTCCTCACCATCCAGAAGCACAACCCAAAGGCCCACTTCTTTGTCGGCCTCGGCCTGGAGTCCTGGTTTAAGAGCGCCGGCCTCAAGAACGTCACGGAACTCGACTGGTGGGAGGACGCCGAAATCACCCTCAACATCGACAAGGGCGTCGACGAGGCGCCCGAGTCCATCACCGCCCAGGTCTCCTGCCTCCCCTGCCAGCACACCTCCGCCCGCACGCCCTTTGACAAGGACACGACACTCTGGGCCTCGTGGGGCGTCAAGTCGTCTGGCAAGTCGGTCTGGTTCGGCGGCGACACGGGATACCGCGCCGTGCCGTGGACCCCGCTCGATGTCGATGACTACGGTCCAAAGTACGCCCACCTGCCCATGTGCCCGCAGTTCAAGCAGATTGGTGAATTCCGAGGACCGTTTGACCTCGGCCTGATCCCCATCGGTGCATACTATCCCCGTGTTGCCTTCTCAGGGATGCACGCCAACCCGTTCGATTCCGTCGAGATCTTCCAGGATACCAGGTGTCAGCGTGCCATGGGCATTCATTGGGGAACATGGGCCCTGACTATGGAAGAGGTTCTGGAGCCGCCCAAGCTTCTTCAGGAAGCCATGAAGAAGAAGGGCTTGCCCCCGACTGGCGTGTTTGATGTGTGTGAGATTGGAGAGAGCAGGGACTTTTAGGTGAACGACCGTTTGCAGTGTATTATTACTGTATTCATTATCTGTTCTTTCGCATCTAAAGCGGGCGTTCTTTTGGGTAACGGTTCCTAGATACTATGTAGATAAAGGCATGCAGCGCGAGATATAAGCGTCAAGCCATAATCAAATGCGTCACTGAAGACCACGTTAAATTCTAGCTCAGCCCGTTTGACTTCGAAGAGACTCGCAATTGGTGGGCCAACCAGTCTGCGCATCGCAATAAGGCGGATGACTACGCAATATGCAGTCAGCCTGCACCTGAACACAAAGTGCCAATAACATCTACGACGCCAATGGGTTACCGGTCACATGATACTAAAACCCCCTTAATTATCGCTTCGTCAGATGCTTCAAACATCCAGCCAAACAATAACGCACGCTCAGCGCTGATCCTCATCATGGCTTGCCAGATCTGCAATGACCTCCACGGCCATGGAGACATTCAAGATCCAGCCTTGAGGACCAGGCGGAACCATGATATATCAGGGGTGCCATGGGACAAGTTCCAAAGCTCTGCAGCCTCTTGTCACACTTGTAGTGTCCTCTTAATGGGGTGCCGAGGCTGCTTAGCGCAGCATAATGTTCATGAAGCCAACATCAACCATTGCGACATACGATTCATTTACAAGTTGTCGTCTGACCTCAAGTACGATTTTCCGGTCGACGTTGACAAACAAATTCGATTTAACATGACAGATGGGAGTCGATTTGAAGTCGAAATTTTTGCGCTTGAGGGCGGTAAGCACAACACAATCCATTGGTGATATGTGGAATCATACATGTTGAAAGGAATGCCACAGATCCTGTTCGTGATACATGGGAATCGATACCGACCACATACAGGACATCGGAAGGTACTGATTCGGGTATTGCTCTTGACAAAGTCAGATCATGGATTGACATTTGTCTCGGCGATTCTCATGCATATTGCGAGTCTCCTGAAAAGCCGACGCTTCCAAGCCGGGTACTAGACGTTGAATACGCTAAAGACATGATTCGACTCATTGATTCCAGCGGCCAGCACGAAGACTACATCACTCTCAGTCATTGCTGGGGCCAAAAACAAATCATAACCAGCACAAATGCAACGCTTTCCCAACGCAAGACAGGGATTCCAATGACCAGTCTCTCGAAAACCTTTCAAGACGCCGTCCTAGTCACTAGAAGACTTGGAATCAAATACATCTGGATTGACTCACTGTGTATCATCCAAGATTCCAAGCTCGACTGGGAAACAGGTCTGTGAAGATGGCCGAGGTCTACAGTAACGCTTACTTGACCATTGCTGCTACGCAATCACGCAATGGCGATGGAGGACTATTTGTCAACACACCCGACTTCGAGGTCTCTGACTCTGTCTTGCCCACGGTCACGGGTGACCCCTATCGACTGCTCTTTCGACGTAGAATCGACCATCATCTTGAGGTCATCAATATCGTCAATCCAATAGACCGAGGAGATCCAACATCCTCCTTCCATCCTTTACTCACTAGAGCTTGGGTCTACCAGGAACGCATGCTGTCGACACGCGTTCTGCATTTCGGCCCCCAAGAGATATTCTTCGAGTGTCGTTCCGACCTCTTCTGTGAATGCGGCCGGATCAAATTTCATGGGTCATCCGACTCTTCCCCCATATCCATCACCAAACTCTTGCACGCTTCCGCACTTGATAGCGAGGTTGATGGGTACGACTGGGTGGATGTAGCTGGCTATTTTATGGCGAGGCTATGGTGCACCCTGATCACCTCATACACTGCGCTTCATCTCACAGTGACCTCGGACCGTCTACCGGCCATTGGAGGTCTCGCAAAGCATATGGCGGTCAGGCGAAAGTCGTCCTACCTGGCAGGGATATGGAAAGATTCCATAAACGATGATCTTCTTTGGATCATACGGACTACCCTCAAAACCCCGAGACCAAGTCCCAGGACCGCACCGACATGGTCTTGGGCTAGTGTTGACTCGAGCGTCGATGTGTGGGACGCAGTGTTTGTCTGGGACCCCGACCTTGACTACGAAGAAGACTCCAGAGGCCTTTTTGAGCACTACAGCGCCGTTATGGACTGCCAGGTAACTCCATCAGGCGTGGGCAAATATGGCGGCATAGCCTACGGGCTCCTGAGAATATCCGGCCTCACAATGGAGGGTATACTTGAACGAGACACCGTGATTCGTCACGGGAAGGAGACCGTGGTTCACTATGTCGTTGTATCGACCGGGCGGTTCCATATCCATGCTGATTACGTCTTGGATAGCCCTGGTCCAGACCAAGTTCTTCCAGGCGCAGATGTCCTCTGCCTCAGGATGAGCTTCATCCAAGATGGACCGAGTGACAATTTCAAGCTCATTTCGTTGGTCCTGAGGGAAAGCAAGCAGCAACCTGGTAAGTTTGAACGGATCGGTTGCTTCTTCATCCAGTCAACCACTCCACCGAACGATTTGCAGAGAAGCATGTATGCGGATGGCAGCGTGCGTACAGTGGATATTGTGTGACACAGCGACATGAAAGCACTGGCGAAGACTTGTATCGGACCACAGCACAGAAGCGTAGTCCATCGTCGGCGACACCGTTGCAACAGAGAGCTGTCTGGTATTTTGTTGCCTCTAGGGCAGCAAGTGTGTCCAGTTCAATCAATATCGGAATACTTTCGATGATTGGGTAAACTTCTTCTTATTAGACAGGAACATGAGATGTTGAGCACATCGCCCTATATCATTTCAATCTCTTATGTGACTCTACAACTATAAAGCATTCTCATCAACGATGTTTCCTTCCACGCAACAAGATCATATGCAAACCTTCGAAGCCTGGTTACACAGCAAGCCTCACAAGGTCGTTGGCCAAAACTTCCAGATAAAGTCCTCCACATCTTTCCATAAAGTCTCTGGCTCTTCAAGCGCAGCAAAATGACCTCCTCTCTCATGCATTCGATACCAGCTCACCTGGTCTGTTTGCTTGATCCACCTCTCAGGTGCAGTGACAAGCTCATACTTGAATGCTGAATATCCTAGTGGGACTTTGAGAGTCTTCCAACCATTCATCATAAGCTCAACGTTCTCGAAGACCACACGATGGATATAGACCGACGTAGGAAAGCACCCCGTGAACCAATAGAGGGCCAGGTTCGTGATGATAAGATCTCTATCTGGTGTCTTTTCAGACCACTTGATCATCTTTTCCCCGATCCAGGCGAGTAGTGCCACTGGGTTGCTTCCGATAATGTACCCTGCACTGGCTGGCTTCGTTCCGTCGAGTTGGATGAATGCGGTGCCTGTCTTTGCAAATTCGGTCATTCTGGCAAAGGCTGCTACCTCGTCTGGAGTATACCGCCCTGCCTCAATACCGGCCTCGACATCTTCACCAGCAGGTGGTGGAACATTCAGCATGCTCATGTGGACGAGTTTGCACGCTGGATCGAGATTCGCAATGACGGGCGCTGACCAACCGCCGAGGTCACCGCCTGAGGCAATGTAGCCAGACTTATCAAAGCCCAAGGCATGCATCATCTTTGACATGAGGCGAGCATTATCGAGATGCGAAAAGTCCCTGTCGAGGGGCGGTGCGTCAGAGAACGGAAATCCGACATGATGAGGCACAATGACGTGATAGGGAAGCGACTCGGGGTCGTATTGAGATTGAAGTTTGCGAAGGATCGGGAGATACTCTACAACAGAGCCTGGCCAGCTGTGTAGGAATAGAATGGGGATTGCGGCTGGGTTCTTGGAGAAAAGAGCGAAGAAGTTGATCTTGTATGTTTTGGAGTCGTCATCGGTAACATCCATATTGAACTGGGGAAAAGTGTTGAGAGTAGACTCCCATTTTCTCCAGTCGTATTCGTTCTCCCAGTATTTGACCAACTCTGAGAGGACATCTCGATGAAGGCCGAAAGACCCATCATCCCTCGAGTTGAACCTGTTGGGTTTGGGAATGGGGGTGAGTTTGAGAAGCGTCTTCAAACTGTCAATCTCAGCATCAGGGACTGAGATGCTGGTGGCCGTGAGATTTGCTGAAGGAGGGACCTCGTAGGGATGGGCACTGAAAGGCAGGGAGGCCATTGTCTGGTATTTGGTAGAGTTGTGTTGACTGAGAGTGATGAAGAAGGGAAAGATGGTTTGTTTCTTTCCTCTTGTAAGGAATTGAAGCGATCTTTATACCAAATCCTCAAGTCAAATTGCTCAGTCTGTTGCCTGGTCATGCTATCAGCGGCCTGTTAGTAGGATCAGCAGGCAGACTACCAGAAGTTTCGTGAAGCCACTTTCTGCTCGTTGCATAACCGATAGTTTCCATACTCGAGCGTAACAAACATCTTCTGGCTATGGGTATTCTGTGGTTCTCCAAGGGATGTGCAGGAGTTGGCCGAACCCCGTACAATCGTAGGGAAAAGGAGGCCAAAGATAATTCGCCGGCTGACAGGTTATTCGGCCCAAACGGGAATAGCGGCATATACTTGCCTTTGCTTAAATCTCACATGAAATCGAATTTCGTCACTCACTCTTCTGCTTTTCTTTTTTTTGGCCAGATCGGAAGGCCAGAGAAGAAAACTCTCACCCGAGCATTGATCTCGGCTGCTCGCATGCCAATAATGGCCCCTGGGCCGAATAAGCCCAAGTCGAGACGCACCAATACACGAAGCCGGACAGGGTGCGTATCATGCCGCCAAAAGCACATTCGATGCGATGAGAGGCGCCCATCTTGGTAAGCTGCCTTCCTAATGTGTCCATTTACGCGGTCAGATAGTGGATATAAAGACTATTTCGACAAGTGCTGTCTGGGAGGATCCAGTCACATCATAACAACTTACCCCACGAGGCTTCACCACAAGTCATAACACTTCAGGAACGCACGATTAATGATCTTATCCGACAGCTTCAATTGTACACTCAAAGAGCAGTTGTGTTCGTATGTGCCGAAGATTCCGCTCCGCGAACGTAGAGCTGGCCCTTGCCCTGGTCAACAAGCACCGTGGGCCGTTGAGGATACACGGCCCATCACACACCACTCTCATAGCGACAAGGAGATTGCCGTATCATCAGAGGTGCCATCTATCCAAGTGCTCACAATACCGAGTCCGTTTTATGTAACTCCGTGGGAAGCCTTTGATCCCTTCGACACTTTGCCCATCAACATGCCTCTCAGGTCGAAGGAACTTCTTTACTACTGTTAGTCTATTCTCTCATGCTAAGCCAGCAATACGTGTTGGCTGTATCTGATCATAGCACAACAGTTTTCCAAGCTTGCCGCTCTCACAGTCTGCTACCCGGAAATCCGGATGATTGGTAAGTGTCTATCGCGGTATCCGGACGACAATATATTAAGAGGCACTGCAGTATTGCATCAGCTACTTCCGATGCGGATGTCCTGCAAAACACGATATTGTTATCCGGTCTTCACTACGCATGGAATAAAGGCGATCTCTCTTCATTTGAATCCACTTTTGTCTCCCAAAAGATCCAGAGCATACGCCAGGTCAACTCTTGGCTTGTCGCAACGCCACACGAACGAGATATCATGCGGTGCGCAAAGTACATCAGTACGCTCTGCTTCATAGAGGTGCTACAACGCTGGTTCGCTCTTATACTCCGTCATACTGACATTTCGAATTCTTAGTGTTGCCTAGGAAATTTGGCTATTGCCGAATTTCACCTTAAAGGTCTCATGACTTATCTGGATTCTCAGCGAGCGGAAACCCCCGGTCAGCACATAATTGATGACATTCAAGTTGAGCAGATGAATCGCTATCTTATTCTGTAAGGAACCTCAAATGGCAGAATAAAATGTACATGTTCATTGATTCCTTACCTCACTAGAGATTACAACGTCGTCCACTGCTTGAAGAGCCGCTCAGATGACAATCTTGCTACCTACGCATCATCTCAAGGCAAAAAGCCACACTCACATCTCAGAGGGTTGGCCAACTTGAAACATGGATGGCCTAACCACGAGGCTAGTGATCTGGATCTTCGCCTCAGGGCTCTCCGAATGGTACCTTTCTTTTTCGGCTCTGTGCCACAAGGTAGCAAGCCAAAGAACATTGATATGTACCCGACTATTACAGCTCTTCGTAATATTACCAAGCTCGCAGACACAAGACATGCGCAAGCATCTGCTGACGTAGTTCTCACCACGCCCTGGAAGGTTTGGGATAGTGGTGGCTCATCCGACCTACTGTTCGCAGTCATCAGCGCCCATCATTCATCATTGGCCGACAAGATTCAACTCCCATCTCGTGGAAAGCAAACCTTTATATCGTCGTGGTCTGGATTTTGTGTGGGCGTCGGCATGTATCTGATTGCCGCTCTTGGGATCTGGAATCAGGGTCTACCAATGGAGAAGCAACTGCACTATCATATACTCCAGATTCTTACACAAGATTTGCGAAATGACTTAGCCAGTCTCTCCAGTATGAGCCGAGAGACACGCGACACGTGGCTCTGGAAAGCATTTGTCGGTTCATTAAGTGTGGTTCATGCCCAGCTATTATTCTGCGACAAGCGCCTCGATTCCATCCTGGAAGAATTGGCCAGCTTCGTTCGGAATTGGGCCAAGATCACAGGCGTTGTTGCATGGTCCGAAGCCAGGGAAATGTTGAGCCGCGTTGTGTGGCCAGTCAACTTAGATCGCGAGGATAGCTTTGAGTCATTGTGGGCAAGGCTAATCTAGCGTTCCTCAAATCTCATTAGAGGGCTCCTCCTGATTTAAATGAATGTGCAAGGGCTAGCCAAAACGGTCTCATCTGCATCCATTGACAGGTCTCCGGTGCCCTTAAAGCAGATGTGAGCACAAAAAGTCAAAAACATACAACACCAGGTATTCGCTGGTCGTCACCGACCCAACTACTAATCCGGCCCTCATTGGCTTATCTATGGGAGAGCGGACGGGATCCCGAGTTTTCCAATGGGTATGGTCGTATGTGACAATCTGCTTAGTCAATGGATCTTATAGTGGGTGTCTTTGCTGCTTCGCTATGGCTCAAAACTCAAGATGCCTAGACGATTATTCCCACTCGCGAGAGCCCCAGCAGCTTACAACTTCGATCACTTTACAATCAAGACCTACTTTTCTGGGGCAGATTACTCCTAATACTACTTGTTCAAGGATCACATGCTTAGCCATTGATATATACCGCAGTAGTCATGCTTCCAGTGCCTTGCCGAATTGAGAATCCGTTTGTCAAAACGGTCGATATCGTACACAAGGATCAACCTGCCACTTTCCAGTACGCCCGTTTGTCTGCATAGTAACCTTTGCTGTTTATAGCTTGACTTAGCATAAGTTGAACCTTAGATAGGCGTTCTACCGGCTACATGCCCGAAAAGAGTTCGAGTCTGAGACTTGGTGGAGTAGGAGACTGACGACGACCCCAAGCCAAGACTGGGGACGACTGGGAAAAGTATATGTAGATATAGCAACCGGCTGCAAAACCCCTACGCGCATCCAACGCCAGAACAGGACTGATCTGAATCCTCAATCACGATGCATCTATTCACTTGCACCACAACTGCCGTCTTACTGGCTTCTGCGGCGGCACAGTCTCTCGGAGACGTCCTAGCCAAGCATGGCTCGACCTCAATGCTCCACGGCCTTCTTACACACCTGAAGCTCATGGACACCTTCGAGAAGGCACAAAACTCCACACTCCTGGCTATGACCGACGATGCGATCATCTATCTCGCAAAATGGGGCCTGAGTCTCACCTCCATGGACCCAGACATCGCCAGGGGAGTCTTGCAGTACCATTTCTTGGAGGGCTCTTACCTCTCATCGGCTCCCGCACTTCATACAGAGACCCAGCTAGCCCAGTCGTCACTCAAACCATCCTCAGGCTTAACAAACATCTCCAAGGGGGCCGTCGTCAAGTTGACAGCGACCTGCGACGGCTCACACAATCTACGCGTGGAGTCCGGCGACCAGAAAATCGTACAAACAGTCGACACGGACATTCCCCACACATACGGCGTCATTCACACAATCAACCAGGCTCTAGTACTCCCCCGTAGTCTATCAGAGACAAGCAGCCTGGGAGAACTTGACGGTTTCTGGAACGTAGTCACCGAGTCCCGCATGGATGGTGTACTCGAGAAGCTCCACGACGTAACCGTTTTCCTCCCAAGGAACAAGGCCGTTTGGAGAGGACGCTCGAAGCTAGAATCGCTCGGTGACAAGGCACTAGAGACGCTCATTAAAGACCACGTCGTCCCGGACCACGTCTTGTTCCACACATCTTTCCCACAAGAGCCGAGGATGGTGACGACGATGAGCGGCAAGAAGATTTCCATCAGTGGCGATTCCAAGGGGCGAATCTTTGTTAACCACAAGATGGTGACGATGCAGAATGTGCTCATTAGCGGTGGGGTTGCTCATGTTGTCGATGAGCTGCTGTCACCGGAGACAGGTATGCCTTCTATTCTGCCCAATGCCTCGTAGACCTCCATACTGACGCACTTAGATCCTGACCATGACTCACCTCCTGGCACCATTGGAACTCCTTGGGGATTACGTGAAGACATTGCTCGAGCTGTCGTTGGGCTCACTGTTATTTCAGGTGTCTTCATCATTGGTGTTATCAAAGCCGTTAGATGGCGAGCCGCCAAGAGGAAGGCCTTTTTGCATTATGAGCCCCTGCCAACCACGCCCAGTGTGGTTTGGGTGGTGCCCAAATAAACAAGTTGGGAGCAGGCTGGCTATAGGATACGGGAGGAAGAGTCGAAGATGTGGCACCAAAAGAGACAGGTCTAGTCTGTAGAGGCGCAGTTGTATGGCAATGAACTCCTTTAGCAAGTAACGATATAAGCAAACATGAATGAACAAGGACCCGGAAACAATTACTTTCAACATCGGCACAGTAATCGACTGCTGTCCAGTGCAGGAGGCATCGAGAGAGTGAATCTCCTGACCAAGCTCTACTAGGGCTGAGGCAGCGGTCAAGTCACCGTACTTGATCAACGTATTGAATGAACTGTGGAAGAGAGAACGTGTCTCAGTCTTGTTTTAATAGATGGTCTATCTAGTAAAATTTGGCTTCCCCTGCAGCTGTCCTTGCTGTCATATCCCATAG